TCAACTAGAGCCAACTCCAAGGAGTTGAGTTGGGATGGAGGGAAAGGGGGGAATGTAGGAGATCTCCCAAATAAAAATTAATAATAGCAGACTTGATCCAACCCAGAGCCAGGCAAAGTCTGAACGGCACACATGAATACCATCAGCAGAGAGCTCATCCTCAGCCTGCAGCCCCGCCTGCAGCCCGCTGGTTGGCATGTGTTCAGGGCTAGACAGAAGTGGGAGGACTGGAAACCACTGGTTCTGTACAGAAAACAGACTAACAATTTTTCAAAAAAGAGTTCAATTACTCTGTCTTTGGACTCCTGATAGCATTGAGAAAGGCAAAAGTCCTCCGTGGGGTGGAGCAGGGGTGGCTTTCAACAAGCCTGTCTCCAGTTTTCAGAAGTGGGCTCGGCCTGCAATGACTCCCCAACTCCCCAGATCCAGGAAAGTGTGATCCCACGTAAGCATTGTGGATTAGTAGTTTCTGATGAGATTAACCCTTTAGATTGTTTTGTGAGGTAGACTTTTCCTTTACTCCTGGCTGTGGAGGTAGAATGTCCCCTTCTGAGGTCCGAGTGAGGGGATGCAGGCTGTAGACGGTGTCAGAAAAGGAGACAAGGTCTGGCCGGGTAGGCAGGAGCCATGTGGACAGTCGAGCCCCCAGTCGGGAGGCGCATGGCCCGGAGGGTCTCCGCAGACTGCTTTGCTTGCTGCCCAACGTGCAGAAAACAGTGCCGTGACTGGTTCAACTGTTGCTGCTGCTGTTGAAAACAAAAAGCTATTCCTTCAGAAACATCTCCTGATGCCAGGTCACTCAGTGTCTCAGCAACCGTCAAGGTTAAAGCAGCTGAAGGGGAAGACTGTTAAGTCTCCCAGGGTCTTGTCCATGAGAAGCCTTTTCAGCCCTGTACGTCCTGTGTAGAAACCGTGTGAATGCTAGCATGAGCCATCCCAGGCAGCAACCTCCCTGCACCTTCCTTGTCACCACGGAGGAACTCCTCAGGTAGGAAAGCACGTGCCCAGAAAATGACCTCAGCCCCTGAAAGACAGGGGGTCTGCTTTGAGGCGAGGACCCTTACTATCGTTATAATGAAATCACTTACTGAGGCTCCTTCTCCGTGTGAGGAACAAAGGGAAGTTATACATTTTTAATCTTTTTTTTAATTTCTATGAAAGTAAAAGCTGTGAAGTCCTTGGAGACAGGTTCTTTCTGATCACTATTGTAGATCTTGTCATTATATCCATATAAGGTCTTTGATTGTGTGCAGCCTCTCCGAATGCCTGTGTCTGGCTCCCAGACACACTCCTTGTTCTTATTAAGGTTCCTTCTGAAGGGCCTTATTCAGGCCAGATGGCTCCTGTGTGTGCTTCCCATCACTCCCCAAGATGGTGAGGAGCTGGGCCTCTCGGGCCAGACCACAATGAGCAAGCTTCATGACCCAGGATGGATGTATCAGCTCTGGGACCTTGAGCAGTCACGTGACCTCTTTCGTCCTCAGTTTCCTCATCCCTTAAATGGAGATAATCAAGGAGTGTGCCTTTTACTGTTATTGGGAGGATTAAGTGAGATACTATATATAAAGCACAAAGCTTGGCATGGTCGTGCTTTAAAATGTTGGCTGACTATGATTATCGTTATTATCAACCATCTTCATCATCATATACTCCTTGCGAGGCTTAAGGTTGCTACAAAGGTAAATGAGAGAGCGCCATGCCTTCAAGAATCTTGCAGTTGATTAGAGATAATATTAATTCATTCACTTAACAAGTGTTTATTGAGTACCTGCTGGATGCCAGGTGCTGTTCCGGGCATTGGGCACACACAGTGTGCACTCTGCCCAACAGGGATCAAAGCTCTTCTAGTACCTACACACTTAGAAAATTGGTAAGTGGTATATGAATGGTACTCACAAAATATTTGATCAGATAAGTCATCTATAACAAGAACCTGCAGTTAGTAGGACCTCACGTGCCTATTAAATCAAATCAAGCAATCAAAGGCACAATGAATTAAAGAGCCATATGAAAATTGATCCCAAGAGCAGGTGTAAAAAAAGGCTATACAGTTGCTATTTTGCCAAGCCGGTGTGTCTCAGTGGTTGAGCATCAACCTGTGAATCAGGAGGTCATGGTTCAATTCCCAGTAAGGGCACATGCCCGGGTTGCGGGCTCTGTCCTCTGTAGGGGGTATGTAGGAGGCAGCCAATCAATAATCCTCTCATCATTGATGTTTCTATCTCTCTCTCCTCTCCCTTCCGCTCTGAAATCAATAAAAATATATTTTAAAAAATAATAAATAAATATATTTTAAAAAATAAGTAAAGTTGCTGCCCTTGCCACTCCCCTTGAAAGATCAGAAGCACTTCCTTTTTATTCCAGTGGCTCTGGCTAGGACACAGGCTTAGCTCAGGACAGTGCAGCCTGCTAAGTCAGAACCCCCTCACAGCACCTCTTACATCCCAGCATGTTCCCCCGCGCCAGTGCAGCCATGGGTTAAACCCAGGATCTGAGTCACCTGCAAGGCATTTGCATGCCCAGATGCAGAATGACAGGAAATGGCATCTGGCCTCCCCACTCAGGACCAGATAAGTAAGTGCCTCGGCCTGATTTTTGACACCAGCCACTTCTCAGAAAGTTAGAAACATGCCTAGGATTCATGGTCACGGCCCAAACTTGTCGCTGGAAGAAAACAAAGTCTGAGGATAAGAACTTGAAATTGTTCATCTGGATTCTCAGTCCATACTGGACGTGACGTTTCCAACGGTCATTTTGACCTTAATTTCCATCTCCTCCGTGGTTGTGTTGGGTGTTCATGCCCTCTGGCCTCTTCAGGGCTGTCAGCTCCTCTGTAAAGGCTCAAACCTGTGGGAGAAAGTTACTCCACAATTACCTAGAATGAGAAATTTTAATCTTTATTCAGACATACACATGGGCACACGTGCATATAAACACACAATTCTCTATTATAATAGTAATTCATAATTATTATGGAAAATTTGAAAAATACAGAGGAGAATAAAGAAAATGAGAAATGTCTATTCAGCCATACAGATAAACATGGTTAGTGCTTTTATTTTTTTATTGATTTCTAATCCTCACCTGAGGATATTTTTTCCATTGAGAAGGGGAGAGAGAGAGAGAGAGAGAAAGAGAATGTCAATGTGAGAGAGACATCGATTTGTTGCTCCTGCACTCCCCCCAACTGGGGTCGGGGATCAAACCCGCAACTGAGTTACAAGCCCTTGACCAGAAGTCGGTCCGCGGGCCGTTGCTCTAACCAGTGAGCCAAACTAACCAGGCTGGTTAGTGCTTTTAAGTATTTCCTATCTGTCTTGTTTTCTTCATAGATAGATAGATCGACAGAGTTGTGATAATGTTGTATATAATTTTTTATTCTGGATTTTTCAGTTAACATTGTAGAGTAAGCATTTCCTCATAACATTAAAAACTCTTAACCCCATTTCCAATGCCAGCAAATGCTATAATTACTAAGCAGTAACTGAGGATTGCGCTCAGAGCTGTACCAATAACTGAAGGCAGGTGCCCCAGTAGGGTCTTCGATTCCAAGCATCCCAGCCGCGTGAGGTACATCTGGTGGCCGTGTCTAACCCTTTTCTGTGCCAGCTCACGGCAGTGGGAGGAGCAGGGAAGCACATGCACTGGTAGTTGAAGTCTGGTCTCCCTCCACACCGGTGCTAAGAACCGCCAGTCCGATCCTGGGTTCCTTTTCTCCCTCCGCTCAGCTACGAGAGAAGCAAGCCTACGTGGAGAAGGTGGAGAAGCTGCAGCAGGCGCTGACCCAGCTGCAGTCCGCATGTGAGAAGCGGGAGCAGATGGAGCGGAGACTTCGGACCTGGCTGGAGCGAGAGCTGGACGCCCTGAGGACCCAGCAGGTACGGGGGCCGGGGGCGGGGCTGACAGACGGCAGGTTGCACATGAGGCTCCGCTCTCGGCACTGGGGGTGCCGGGGTCAAGGAGAGCTCCCTGTCTTAGTGAGCCAGCACAGTGGCCAGTGGAGGACGGGCAGTCCACTCACGGGAGTGATGTCCTCACAGAAGACGGCTGGGCATCAGGGAATGTGGCTTCAGACGGCTTCCCAGAGGAGGACATTTGAGTTGGACTTTGAAAGATGAGTTTTTGGGGCATTCTGGGGAGAACATCAGAAGTAGAGGAAGGATATGTCAAGGAGAGAGGCAGTTCGGGGCAGCAGGGTGCAGCCCAGTGTGGCACTGGAGGGATGAGGCCAGCCATGGAAGGCGTGTGGTCCAGGTGAGGGACTGGGCTTTGTCCTGTGACAACAGAGCCAACGATGGTAGTTTTTCAGCTGGAGAGGAATGTCGTGCACAGGGCTGGGGAAGGAGTGCTCTGGTGGTGTCAGGGGTGTCTTGGGGGGCAGATGGCGACGGGAAGGAGGCCGGCCTGAGGGCTGTTGGTGTCATCACGGGGAGTGGCAGTGGGAATCCAGGGGGAGCGGGCAGAGGGGAAGATTAGAAGGCCTGACCATCAGTGCATGTCTGAGGTAAAGGAGAGGAAGGCGTTCAGGACGATCCCTGGAGTGTAATATTGGCCGTAAGCTCCTGCTCCTCTGCCTCGTTTCATCCTGGCAGCAGCAGTTAGCGTAACTCAGCTATGAATAAGCTCAAGTAAAATGCCCCAACCGGGCTCCGTGCGCCTCGGCTAGGGGACGAGCCTGCAGGACGGCCCTGTGGCTGGACTGGGAGCCTCCCAGGCTGTCAGACTCCTGGCTCCAGTGAGCAACTGGCCGTGCGCCGTCGGCCAGTGCGGTGGGCAAAGCCCTCTGCAGCGATGAAGGGTGCGCCCTCAGTCGGGAACCAGGGGAATGCAAGACGGCTCCGTGGAATTACCTACTGGACGGGGCACAGTGGCTGTGGGTGAAAGACTTGGAAACACTTGAAAGAGCACACGCGGGCCGGCCCCGCCCTCTCTCATGGCCGGCGCCCACGTTTCCCGGGCGTGTGTACTTGGCGGGCGGAGGAGGTGTCGGTGAGATCGCCCAGAACATTAAGGAACCCACCCGGCCGCCCACCACCTTGGCTTAGTTGGTGGCTTGTAAGGAAGGGTGAGTCTGTCTCTGGACTGCTGCCCCGTCCTCCCTGGGCTGCCTTCCCTGGCCTGTGGGCCACCCTCCAGCTGTTCCCCATGTGCAGTTACTGAGGTCTGAGCCTTCCCCCTGGAGGGCCGGCTTCTCGGAAGCTGGCACCGCGCTGGCACCGGTGAGCCGCACGAACCGTTGGCTGGCAAAACGGGCAAAACTCAGCGCTGCAGAGAATGTTTGTTTCCAGTTCCTGTGTCCCCAGCCCCTAGGGTTAGGTGACTTATCCTGGGACCTTCTATTTTGAATGCTGTAAAGCCAGACTCAACCCCATTATCCTTGCTGTGTACCAAGGAGAAATGTGAGGTTAGAATGATTTGAAAAATATCCCTTGCCACAGAGGACTGTTCAGAGTGTGCACGCTCAGAGCCATGCACCCTCATGCCCATTGCTTTCTCAGACAGGCAGACACGAGTCCCTGCCATGCCTAAAGGCTGCTGGCAGATCTGGGAGTACCTGGGGGCGGGCTGGCGAGAAAGACAAAGGTTTCATAATGAGGCTCTCCAGGAAAATTACTTGGCTTGCATTTTGGATCTAGCCTGGGGGGCTGACAGAAGACCCCCTGCTGGTTATGGCTGACATGAGACCAAAAAGAGGGGAGATGATCTATATAGAGCTAAACAGAACTTTGTTTATCTCGGCATCTCTTTAAAAATAGTATGTTTCTTTTCATGAGCCTGTTGATCCATCTCTTATAAGTTTCCTTGTTGTTTTACTTCCTCATTAAAAAGATGAGTATTATTTTTTTAATTTTTCCTTGAATACTTCTGTATTCTATCATTTTGTCAGTGAGCATACATCTGTATATATACAAGGCTAAGTTGACGCACGCATGCACGATACATATAAAGCTCTTGCTGGCGCCAATCGCATGTGTGTGTTTCCACCTATCATTGTCAATCATGAATTTGGTTGACGCTTCTATTATAAAGGACAAATAGCGATATTAAAATAGTTCTTCTAATTAATTTCCTTTCCATGTGCACGAATCTGTACACCGGGCCTCTAGTTATTCTATAACCAAAAAAGGTAAAAATTTTATTACACATAAATTCACCCCAAAACCTTGAGTTTCTAGCCAGTTCCATGTGGAATCTATATAATAAAAGCCTAAGCGACTGTTATGGTGGAATGACCAGAACAACCAGTCACTATGATGCGCACTGACCACCAGAGGGCAGGCGCTCAGTGCAGGAGCTGACCCTCTTGGTCAATACACTCCCACCGGAGGAGCACTGCTCAGCCAGAAGCCGAGTTCATAGCTAGCAAGCACAGTGGTGGTGGTGGTGGGAGCCTCTCTTGCCTCTGCAGAGTGCTAAGGAGCAGCGAGCCAAGCGGTAAGGAGCGAGGGATCCTGGACTGCGAGAGGGATGTCCCCCAAGGGGTCCCAGACTGTGAGAGGGTGCAGGCCGGACTGAGGGACTCCCTCCCCAGTGCACGAATTTCGTGCACCGGGCCTCTAGTATACTACAAAGTTTGGAGCCCGTGGACGGTGTGGTGAGTGCAGGCCTGCTGGCTCTCAGCAGGGATGCCCGAAGTCCACTCTAGTCCACTCCAGTGCCTGAGGTCCCCCAAGAAACTCGGCCTTTCTGGGAAAGGCACCCAGGGGCCTCGCTGATCAGCTTCCTCCTCATTCACTCTACAGCAGCTAGTGCATATGCTTGCCTGGATGTAACCAGCCCACCGGCACCCTGCTCCTCACTCCTGAGCTGCAGAGGCATTTATCTGACCTTTGTAGGAAGGTCACACTGAGGTCACATGGTAACAGAGCTCCTGGTCATATCCCCCCTCAACAAAGCCACTCCCCATAGTGCGTTATTCTGAAGGGACCGTTGGAGAGAGTAGCTCAAAGAACTTATTAAATCAAGACCCACACAAGGGCTCTGCCCTTAGACTGATGCCAGGACACAGCCGAACTTCTCCACCCATATCCTTAACAACACAAAGCCCCCACATGAGCCAAGGTTAATCTTGAGAGGTGCCCTGGAACCTTCCCGACAGTGGGTAGACTGGAGGTGACAGAGCGACATGGAGTCAATTGATTCACAGGATGACTCCAGGGTTAGACTGACCAAGGTGGGTGACTCCTGCCTGCTCCTCCTACTAGGAAAGTGCCCTTGGGTAAGTGAGCTGTCTGAGCCTCAACTTCCTTGTCTCTAAAATGGGCCAATACGTTATGCTGACCTTACACGTATAACCTCAGATAAGAAAATCCGCACAGTCCCCGGCACTGAGCAACTCATTGAGAAAGAATAGCTATCGTTGTTTTATCATCATGACCTTCAGAATATGTGCAAGGCCCGGGGCATCCTGGCACCCTCTCCCACATCCCTCCCTTACTCCAGCTTTTCCAGTCCCACTGGAAAAGGTGACAGAAATGTGTTCACTGTGGTATTCCCAGCACATGGTGTACTAGTACGTGCTCAGTAAATATTTGTTGATCAACTGAATGGGCAGCAGAAGCTGGCCTGCCTGACCGTCGGCCCGTTGTCCTGGCCGGCGTGCTTGCCTATTAGATTGTGCTATGCTTGAGTGTTGAAACTCATGCTTTTATTTAATGTCTTAATGGCCTGAATTAGGTGCTCTATGAAGACTCATGTGAGCTCAAAATGAATAAACCAGCTGAGATGGGAACCTTAGGATTCAGAGAGAAACTGACCAGCGTGGAGGCAGCTGAGTGAGGCTGTGGGATCTTTTTCTTGGACCGTTTCTGAGAACAAGGGAGCTCTTGTGTTGCCGGACCTGATGTCCTCCTGCCTGAGGCCAGGTGCTGGCTCCGGAGTCCGTGACTTTGTGTACAGGTGGATGAGGACAGGTGCATGCCTTCGCTCTACTCCTGATTAAATGTTAGTCACTGGCAAGATCCTAGAATAGTTGCTATTTGTAGCTTTAAAAAATTGAACACAAACATACGGTTTACAAAAGCCTGTGGGCCCATTGCTCTTCTTTCTCTGGTAGGATGAGACTCCATCAGGGCAGCCCGAGCTTGTGTGTGGTTGAGAGTGCCTCTCTCACCTTGCAGCCAGCTCTGCATTTGCAGTGTGTGACCCCTGGGTAAACCGGAGGGGACGTGGAATAGCTGGGATGAAGTCATTGTCCCTGAAGTCAGAACCTCCTCAAACCCCATCGTCCTCCAAGTCGTGCTGCTTAGAGGAAATAGGATGCCTGAGTTAAAAGGGAAAAAAAATCTGAAACGTGAAAATTCTCCTCTGTGAGCATCCAGATAAGACATCCGCTCTATTCCTTGTCTTATAGACCCGGGTGACAAGAACGGGCTGAGCTTGCATCTCAGACTTTCTGGCAGCTCCTTACTTTGTTTAGCCCTTGAGAGTTTATTAATGCTCTCATGTGCATTATCTTGTTTGACTCTCAGGCTTCTAAGTGGGGCAGGTATTCATTTGTTTCCCAGACGAGAGCTCTGCAGCCGGGAGAGCACGCGTGTCAGGGCTTCTCGCTCCCAGTTCCTGGGCCTCTCCGTTTTATCTCCCAGCCTCTGGGAAAACAAACACCTGGAATCACTTCTGAGAACACGGGAGAAAGTGCCCCAGACCAGGAGGCTCTTGCTTTTGGTATAAATGAGCTGCAGGACGTTGGACAAGCCACTTCTTGTCATGCAGAACCGCATGGACCGACAGACGTGGGTTTGAATCCTGACCCTGCTGTCGCTCAGAGACATGGAGCAGTTCTTCTAGCCTCTCTGAAGCTTAGTTTTCTCCTCTGTAAAATTGGGATAATATTGTCTATTTATACGATAAAGTTACATGACAATTCATGAGGCAGGAATTTGGTAGGTGAGGTAGCCTGGTGTTAGGATCTGCGAAGGTTGGTCATCCCTCCTGGAGAGGGAGTGAGAGTGGGATGGTAAGGTGTGCGAACGGGCTGAGGCTCTGGGTGAACTCTGTGCTCCACACAGGCAGCTGCAGACACGGTTCCCGTTTCGCATCAAGCCCCCGTTTCGCATCAAGATGTTCTCTCTCTGCGTCTCTAGAAACATGGAAACGGCCCGCCAGCCAGCATGCTGGAATACAATGCCCCGGCCCTCATGGAACTTGTGAGGGAGAAGGAGGAGCGGATCCTGGCGCTGGAGGCCGACATGACCAAGTGGGAGCAGAAGTATCTGGAAGAGAGCACCATCCGGCACTTTGCCATGAACGCCGCAGCCACCGCCGCAGCTGAGAGGTGAGGCCAGCCTGGGGTCCCACGGGGCTTCACTCCTCTAGGTAAAGTGCATTCACACAGCGGGATACTATTCGCTCTCTTTTTTTTTTTAATACATACAGAGGAAGGGAGAGGGATAGAGAGTTAGAAACATCGATGAGAAACATCGATCAGCTGCCTCCTGCACACCCCGCACTGGGGATGTGCCCGCAACCAAGGTACATGCCCTCGACCGGAATCGAACCTGGAACCCTTCAGTCCGCAGGCCGACGCTCTATCCACTGAGCCAAACCGGCCAGGGCTACTATTCTGTCTTCAAGTGTGATGTTGGGAGAGTTTATTTCAGCAGCTGGTGTGTGACAGGGGCCGGACAAGAAGAGTTCATCCTCCTGACAGCCCTGGAAGGAGGGACTGTTATTACCCTCGTTTGCAGGTGAAGAAATGGGGCTAGGGAGGTGCGGCGGTTTATTCCGAGTCGCACTGCTCGTCAGTGGTGGGGCCACGCGGGAAGGGAGACCTGTCTGCCTTCAAGCCCGATTCCACTTGGCCAGCAGTTGTTTTCTGCTGCCGTCTGTTATGACCTCTGTTGCCTTCTTTCCTTTCTGTAGTGCACAACCTTTATTCTTCTTTCAAAATTGGCTCAAAATGTTCAATAATTGACAGAATAATTCTGTGAAACTTCTGCTGTCTGGGTGAGCAGGTAGCTCCTTGATCGCCGCGCTCACCTGCACGCGTGATCGCCCGCACCGCTGGGGCGGCCGCGCATTCTGCCCATCCTCTCTCTCTCTCACTGCCGCTCCCTCACCCTGCCTCCCACGACTTTGCCCTTTGCCAATAAGTTACATTTCATTCGGAGTTGTTGGGAATTCACTAAAATTTAGGATTAGTCTAGTTCAGTGGTCGGCAAACCCATTAGTCAACAGAGCCAAATATCAACAGTGCAACAATTGAAATTTCTTTTGAGAGCCAAATTTTTTTAAACTTAAACTATATAGGTAGGTACATTGTTATTAACTTAATTAGGGCACTCCTAAGGCTTAGGAAGAGCCACACTCAAGGGGCCAAAGCGCCGCATGTGGCTCGCGAGCCACAGTTTGCCGACCACGGGTGTAGTTGGAGGCCATCCTCGAGTTTCAAAGGTGCATCCATAATATTGGGCTGGTCAGCCCCACGTTTCTTTGGGATGTGTTATTTCTTCTCTACTGAAGAAGAGGAGGCCCATTGAGGCAGAGGGGGTTCTTCGTAAGCCGCCCATGGACTCTCATGTTCATCCTCACATAGAGAAGACCCGCCAGCAGTACGCTCACCTGATGCCTCCAGGACTGGGCAGAGGGCAGTGCCACCCATGGGGGCATCGATGCCTCCGCTGGGCGCCACGGCACACTCGCGTCTCGGGAGACCTGCGGATTCACGGGGGACATGGCCACTTGGGAATCAGTTCCTAGTGCCCGAGTGTTGTTCATGCAGGTCTGTGCTCTGAGGGGAAACAGCCCACAGAACCCCATCCAAGCGAGCCCCTGGGGGTGGGGATGGACATTTGAGACTTCTGCTATGTCGAAGCTGCAGTCGTGATGCGAGAGGGGGAGGGAGTTGCAGCCCCCAGTTCAGTCTTTGGACCGTCCGGGTGGGAACATTGACGCTCTTGGAAGTATTTCTTGATGGTTACACAGTTGGGATGTTTTTCTTTTCAGCTTTTTGCTCTGTAAGGTGATCAGTAAATCACCTCTCTACCCTGTGGAAGAGGACAAACCATCCTAGAGTTACAAAGGGGCTTGGCTTCTTTGCCGGCTTTGGTCTGGGGCATGGCTCTCGGTGATGCCCTTTGGTTTTTAATGGCAAGAGCATGGCATAGGGAGGCGGGACCCCGCATGCAAGGCTTCCCCAGCTCTGGCTGCCTACAGACGTGCGATTCTGCAAAAGCCGTTGCGAGCTGGGCTCATTGGTTGATTCTTGCATATACCCTGACTGGGGATCAAACCTGCAACCTGAGTGTATCGGGATGATACTCTGACCAACTGAGCCGCCCGGCCAGGGCACAGTGATCCTATTCTCAGCAGCCGTCGTTAACTAGGAGCGATCAAATTGCCGAAACCAGCGACAGGAAGAGTTCTCTTTGGCCAGTTGTTTTCCATAAGACACCTGCTTTTAGCTCCACATTTTAATCTCCCCATGTCTGCCCCTCCCGTCCTCCACCCTGCGCTGCACTCTCCAAGGACGGGTGTCTTGTGTGTCTTCATCTCTCGGCGGTGCTGCCGGCGTGGCTGTCAGGCCGAGTGGACCTGAGTCCCAGGCAGGGGCCCATGCAAGGAGAAGCGAGCTAGAAAGCAAGCAGGATGGGAGCTTTCAGCGTGAGCCTCTCTGTCCAAGAGGACCAGTATCCGCTTTAAGTATTTACTGAGTCTCCGTTTTACTGTGAAATACTGAAATAGCTGCTGTGAGGGTAAGGAGCAGCCATAAAACTTCAACTCCGATTGAGAAAGTCAGAAAGGATAAGTGTGAACGAGAGACCCTACCAACTATAATAATAGTATCCACGTGTCAGCAGGTGCAGCGTCCATAGTCATAGCGTGATCCACGGTGGTGCTGGTAGAGGGCAGGGAATTGTTACTGTGGGATTTTATTTTGTTTTTCTTAGATACTGTCTCCATTCTACCAAGCTGAGGGAGGGAATGGGCCAGGATCCAGGAGGGAAAGCGGGGGAAGGAGTGTGTGGAGAGAGATGTTTAGTGCGGTGACCTCACACGTCTCTCAGTGAGCGTTCGCATCACCCTCCGTGTGTCCTGTGTTGCCAGGGACACCACGATCATCAACCACTCGCGGAATGGCAGCTACGGCGAGGCCTCGCTGGAGGCCCACATCTGGCAGGAGGAGGAGGAGGTGGTGCAGGCCGCCAGGAGGTGTCAGGACATGGAGTACACGTAAGGACAGCCGCGTGCGCGGCCGTGACACCGCGCTCCACCCTGGCCACGCACCTCACGACCCCCAGGCCCGCATTTGGGCTCACACTCCAGCCCCAGCCCCTGCTCTGAACAGCTGGCAGGCGCGGCAAGTTACTCTCTGAGTTTGAAAAGAGCTCGAGTGTTTTCTGATTCTCATTTTTGGTCTTTGGGGGGAAAATTAACTTCTCCCAGAAAACCTATTCATCTTCTGAGAAAATAGGGAAACTGACCTCCGTGGAAGGCTGGCCCTGAGTGAGGCTTCCTGCTGCTCTCCCACCCACAGCCAGGGACCCAGGCCCTCCTAGCGGGCCTCTGAGCCTCCGCTGGGAGGCCACGCCTTTCTCACCTATGTCCTCAGGTTCCCAGCAAGTCCCAGGGGCTCCCCAGGGGCCACAGGAGGTGCACCCCTCTGATCTACTACCAAAGATCCACCTTATACACTTTGCAGATAGGAAATGTTTGAAGACTTTACTGCGCTTCATTCTCCATCCTGAATTCTAATTCAAGTCCCTGGGCAACCTGAAAAACGTTTCGTGTTTTTCTAGCCAAATGGAGTGTGATTGTGACTCGTTTTGTTTTGTTTTGTTATTCAGCATTAAAAATCTCCATGCCAAGATCATCGAGAGGGATGCCATGATTAAGGTCCTTCAGCAGCGATCCCGCAAAGATGCCGGGAAGGCGGACTCCTCGAGCCTGCGGCCCGCCCGCTCCGTCCCTTCCATTGCTGCGGCCACCGGGACACACTCCCGCCAGACCTCTCTGACCAGCAGCCAGTTAGCGGAGGAGAAGAAGGAAGAGAGGACCTGGAAGGGGAGCATAGGTGAGCCCCACGACTCCATCTGGCTGGGGTCAAGGGTCTGGAAGGCAAGAGAGAGCTACACCAGCTTTGAGAGGCAACCTCATCTGGTGGAAAAAGTCCTGACACTTTTGTAGTGTCTGGCTCATGGGTCACAGAAATGGCCCCTCATGGGTCACAGAAATGTCGCTGAGTATTCCCAAGTCTCAGTTTACTCATCTGTGTAATGGGGAGGATAACCAATCATACTTTGGCTGTGAAAACTGAATGAGCAATGGAGGCAGCGGCTATACCACCAGATTGGCTATTGGCCATGGGTTGACTCATGTACTTACCATCACGGTTGAAAGTGGAAGTGCCCGACCCTCACAGCATACAATGGAAAAGCCCATAGACGTCAGGCCTCTGAACTTGGCTCTGCCCCCGACCACTTGTCAGACTGCTCTGCCTCCGCTTCTGCGCCTGGAAAAGCAGGGCAGTGCCTGTCCTGTTGCCCCGGGGCTGTGGGGAGAGCAAAATGAGATAACAGGGAGGAAGTGTGCGTGCGTGAGAGGCTGGTGGTTGCATGGTTGTTGCACAGGCAGAGTTTTGATAATTCTGCAGATGTGGTGTTAGCCACGAATGGGCTTCCTGGGGCGAGGGCCAGCCTGTCGACGGCTCACCGGGTCTGGAGAGGAAGCAGGCAGCGTTCCCAGACACATGTGCTCCCCCCGGCCCCCCCGCCGCACTCTGGCAGCTGCAGGGTCTTGCCTCCTTTGATGCATTTCCCTGGGTCAGAGTGTGTTTTCTTTATCTGTGGAGCCGAGAGCCAGTTTTTGTCAGCACAGAACCCCAGAGGAGCCTGGCTGCTTCGTGCCAGAGGAGATAAGAGCTTCCAGTATGAACCTGCCAGAGTCGGGGGATCAAGGCTCCTAGCCAGAATCTCCGAGTGAAGTGCCTCCACAGGTGGCCTCAGCAGCCCCTGCGCTCTGAGGACAGCACTTCAAAGAGGATGCGGGTGGACAGCAGCTGGGATCATCAAAGGCGCCCCCCTCTCCCCCACCCCTGCAGGACACTTAGCTCCCCACACAGTTAGGGAGCCCGTGAGTTGGTACCTAGGCCCGTTTGCCCAGGCCCGTTTGCAACATGCAACCAGTCAGGCGTTTCTCTGGTCTCTGTGCCTATGTCCCTGGCATCTGCAGGTCTACACCAGGCCTGGGAGAGGACCCAGTCTGCAGGAAGAATTGCTGTGTTCTCTGCACTGTGTTCCTCCCATTATTGCCATTGTCATTGGTGTCCACGCGTCACAAAACCAGAGAGGCTCTCTGAGAGGCAGGGCAGAGGCAGCAGACACAGCCTCTGCACAGTCCCCACGCTGCTTCCACCATCTCTTGCCCAACAGGCCCTGGAAGGGGGTGGGGGTGACAGTGTACGCCCTGCTGATGGCGAGGGCTCGGGTGAGATGACTGGCCAGTGACCTAGTTCCACAAGAGCATCCCTGTCAACCTGCAGCTGGTTAGGAGGGAAGAACACAGGTTTGGGTAGAGCTGGACACAGCTGGGCCTGAATCCCATTTCTGCACCTTCTTAGCTGTGAGATGCCCACTTCTCTGAGCTCCCGTTTCCACGTCTGGAAAGCAGAGGCCAACACGGGGCCTACCTCAGCGCTGCTGTGACGTACGGAGGGAGGTGAAGTGTGCGAAGTCCCCGGCCTCTCCGAGTGTGGCCGGTGGACCAGCATCACCGGCCTCGCCTGGGAGCTTGTTAGAGAAGCAGCCTCAGGCCCCACCCGCGGAATGGAATCCTCTGTTAACAACACATCCAAGCCCCCAAGAGGCACGTTCCGTGGGAGGACGCAGCTGGGCACACCGAGCTGCTCTGTGTTTCTGTGAATGGCACCTCCGCCAGCCCTGGGGAGGACACTGTATGAATTGCTGGCTGATTCGGCCGCATGAACAAGCAGTTGACTGTGCTGACCGCATTCTATAAGCTAGTGTTCGGAGTGCTGGCACGTTTCTGAATGTGTGCCGTGTTTCATTATTTAAATGAAAACGGAGCTGTCCTGCCCAGCGCTGCAGGGAGACATTGAGGAGGAGGGGAAGCACTGCCCACCGTGCCTGCCTTTTCCCTCCAGCGCTTCCTCGCTCCTGCCCCCAGCCTGCCTACCCCGGGGCCCCGCGCGCGAGAAGAGGCCGAAGTGGCTCATCCCAGGGCCCGGCTGGCTTCCTGCCTCTCGGGCCGAGGCTCTCAGCTGCTGGGTCTCCTGGGTGTCGGTCTGACCTGGAAACAAGGCTGTATTTGACCCCGGTACTGCGGGAGGCCTTCCAGTGCCAAGACGGGTGGAACTGTGGGCCGGTCAGAAGCACAGCAGGCCAGTGGGCCATGCCTGGGACTCCGTTTTTCTAAAGCACACAACCACGACTCGAGGCCAGCCCTCCCCGGCCCTGCGTGAGGCGGAGCAAGCATCAACTCCAGGCAGCTTTGCAGGATCCCCCACCCTCGGCACTGGCTACTGGGTATCTCGCGCCACTTTGGAGTCATTTTATCCCACTGTTTATCATATTAGATTATAATCAGTTTGCTTTGCAACTCCTTAAAAACAACTATAAGTTTTTAGGGAGGGGACTAGGTCTTTTCCGTTGTTAAATTTCCTCAGTGCTTCTCAACTGGTCAGGCACAGAGTCAGTGCTTATAAGTGCCTTCGGTGAGTCCTGAGTCAAGATGAGGGATTTGGTTGGTATTAAAGAACAGCATTGAAAAGCTATCCTTCCGTCCTCAGGGCTGCTGCTGGGGAAGGAGCACCACGAGCACGCCTCTACCCCCGCGCTGCCCGCCCCGCCCGCCACAGCACCGGCCCCAACAGTGTCCGCCACGTCGGCCAGCAGCGCCCACGCCAAGACGGGCAGCAAAGACAGCAGCACCCAGACGGACAAGAGCACCGAACTCTTCTGGCCCAACATGGCCTCCTTGCCCACCCGCGGCCGGCTGAGTGTGACCCCTTCGAACAGCCCGGTCCTGAAACACCCCGCCGCCAAAGGGACCACAGAGACAGAGGAAGCTGTTC